TGGTATTGACCCCCTCCATTTCAATAACTGTAACTTTAACAGCCCTATAAATGACTCAGAGTTGGTTGTATGTTGTGCTGTGATCACTAAGAGTTGTGTCCCTTTCCACAATGGGCTGTTAAGAGAAGACCTTCTACTTAGAATAGGTAGTGCAGACTATTTTCATATTGACAATACTGAGCAGGTATTAGCCAATAGTCAGCATGGGGTCTGGGAATGGGTGAGTGTTTTTCCCAATCTTGACATGCCGACATGTGAAAACCAGATAAAATGAACACTATAATATCAGAAAGTCTTCCTCCTGACAGATCGACCATGGTGAGATTTGAACCTGAACCTCATGGTCACAAAATGAACATTCTAACCATATATATTCATTATATATTTTCAAAGCTAAAACAGAACATTGTGTGAATCATGAGAGAACAATTAAAGCATCATCACTTAATATAATTTTATATACAAATCTTTCTAAAACTTATCTTTACTTTCTTTTCAATAAAATATGAAAATACAAATTGAATATCAAACTTTCATTTTTCAAGATTCACCATTTCCTCATAAAAATACATTTCTATTGTTGATTTTTTAGAAAAGATTGAGTTTCCTTTTCTTGAAAGAAATTGTCCAGTTATTCACACAGGAGGTTGAAATAATTATTGGAGATGAACTCATTTTACATATTGACTTTGGAATTGCCTAAGCCTATCTTTTATCAACACTCTCTAAGGCCATTCAGCTCTGAAACCAGCCAAATAGATCAAGATTAACCATTACTCATATAATCTGTTCTATTCATTGAGGGGTCAACTCAATGACCTGAAGATTGGCTCTGCTTATTAATATTGAATTAGTTAAAGGCTTAAGCTGAGTGACTAAGTAACTAAGAACAGTGATCTGTTAAAGCTGATAAGTTAAATATTTGTCCAACTTCTGAACAAGTATTCAGTCTTGGCTCAAATGTAAAATCTGCTTCATTTGGGTACTGAACTAAAACTTGGAGTTAAAATATCAATTCATTAGATAAACTTTTAGCAGTAAACTTTAGGTCTTCATTAAATGAAAACTGATTTAATAATTTGGTTAATACATTGTATTTCAGAATTGCCTTAAATTATAAAATAAAATGGCAGCAAATGTTCAAAACGATCTTAAATCTGTCATTAACTGGGGCAAAAGACGGCTTCTTAATTTTAACGACACCAAAACTAAACCTCTCTCCATTAATCATCTGAGAGACACCTCTCTGTATTCCATCAGCAGGGCTGATGGTAACTACTAGGAAAGTGACTCGTTGCACCTTCTTAGGCTAATGTTCTCAGTTGACATGAAGTGGAAAGATTATATTGAATCCATTGCAAGGTCAACTGCTAGGAAAGTTGGTTCACTATGTTGGGAGAAACAATTCTTCTCTCCAGAATCTATCTTGCATATCTATAAGTCTATCATTCATCCTTGCTTAGAATATTGCTGCCACATATGGTCCATTAACCCTGCTATTTATATTGATCTCCTTGATAAAATCCAAAAAGGATCAGCAATATTATTGGTCTTGATCTGGTGGCTCAGCTTCAATCACTTTCCCACCACTTTAAAGTTTCCTTCCTATGCTTTTTCTATAAATACTTTCATGGTAATTCTTTGGATGACCTCTTTACCATGGTACCTAGACTTTTTGAATCTAAGCACTATACTGGACTGGCATTGAGATCTCAATTTACAATTGAGCTGGCTTAGCCATAAATTCTATGCTAACATTTTCTTTTCCCACATTTCTCACTTGTGGAACTCCCTTCTGGCTCCATGCTTTAATCTACAAAAATTTAAATGCAATGTCAATTACTATCTACCTGATTACTTTTTCCTCTTCACACTCATTAATGTTTCTGTTTCTAATTGTTCCACACCCTGTAATTCCTTGTGTTTTAGTGGCTTTACTGCCTTGCATGGGGTGATAGCAATTTAAAAAAAATATCAATCAATATTTCTTGGAAAACTTTAACATTGTTGAGTTAGATGACCTAATCAAAATAAATCTCTTTTTATGTGTCTTCAAATTATTACAGAAAGGTCAGAAGTAAATAACTCAGTCTTTCTTTGGAATGTGTTTGTCATGCAATTTCTCAAATTAAAGTTGATTCAAGGAATGTTGATAATGAACTTGGGTGACATTTTTCAATTTGATTTGCAGTTAAACATTTGACTGTTTATGACAAAGTCTTTTTTAACAAACATCTTTCCCTATGAAAAAAATGGACATATTTTAAACAAATATATTTAAACATAATCTCTTTCCTTGTCAATGCACTTAATACAATAGGAAAACTAATTACACAGATTGAACATTATACAGTGAACAATTCAGATCAAAATTCATTTAATAACTATGATGTATCAGTTTACAGACTTATTGATCCAACCTAATAAAGACAGAAACATTTTGCAGTGATTGCTATTTTAAATTTTTGTTGAATAATTTGAGACTTAACCAGGGTTTATTCTTGCCTGTTTTATTTGTAAAAATAATTCTGGTTGTTGTAAAAATGATTTTTACTTCATGGCAGATTTTTGTGAAAGTAAACATTTTCTTAAATAGATGTTCCACTCCTAAATAAATTTTTCATACAACGTTGCAATCTGTCTAGCCAGGTTTTTATTTTATCTGAGTGTCAGGATCCCAAACATTTAACAAAAACAGAATCAAATGAAACATAAAAAGGTTTTTGAAGGAAATGTACAAGCAGAACGTCAGTTGAAATAACATTTATATATTCTTTTCAAAAATATACAATGACAATAAAATAATTTTTTCATGCAGTGAAGGTTTTTTATAAAGTAATTAAGGGTTCTTAATTTACTGTGAAATGTGTGTACAGACTTACTTTACGATGGTCAGCCTGATGTGTTTGTGAGGTCATAGACAAAGCCTTAGTCAGTGGCTGCTGGCTGTCTCTCTTTGATTGTCTGTGGGTGCGTGCATGTGTGTGTGTGTGTGTGTGTACACATGTAGATCAAACTGACCTCCAAAATTGTTGTGAGCCTTGAAAAGCAGTATGCATCTATTTTTATATCCATAAGGAGATACAAAATCTAATTTCACATAAAGGTATGAAATTTTGAATAGAAGGTTTTCATTGGTTAGAAAATAATTTGCGAAAATCTTTTTTTCAAATTTTTCTGGAGTGGCAAAAGGAGTTATTATTGTTATTTTCTAAATGGTCCAAAAATAAAACAAATCTACAGTTATGTCTGTAAGTATTTTGATGATATTTGCCTTTATAATGATTGTTTATCAAACAAACATTCTGGTGGAATTTTATTGGTTTAAAAAATATATATATCATGTTTAATTCCTATAAGAGTAACACTTTATATACATTATAGTTTCTTCATGTTTTTTGTTGTTACTGTAAGTATCTCTTGCCACTTTGTTTTTGTCATCCTTCTTCTGTCATTTATTTACACAAATTCATCAAGTAGGTTATGCTTTGTTTCCCCTTGCTTCTCTTACCTTCATTATGCCCTGTGAGTGTTAAATTCTCTAAGTAGACTTTTCTCATTATGTGTCTCCATAACTTTTAGCTGTCTTATTCTGATTGTTAGCAGCAGTTTCTTTGTAGTTCCTATTTTCTTTAAAATTTCTTCATTGCTCACAAGTTCAAGGTATTTTCAACATTTGTTGATAGAACATCTCAGGAGCTTTATCTCTTCTTTATTAGTGAAGAAATTGTCTAGTATTTACTGCTATCTCAAAGATTAGATACAATGTAACAATTCAACCTTCTATTCTTTGTTTCTAAGAACTGTTATGATCATATAATATTTGGCTTAATTTCAAAAAGGCCCATTTTATTAAAAAGGTACATTTTACTATTTCTACACACCTTTGGGTTTCTGTGTCACACTTTCCATTATCCGTTACTACTCAGTTAACTTTCCCTGCCTGCTTGATTTTGATATCCCCAATATGTAGCTTGCAACTTGGGCTTTCTCTTTTGCTGACAACCATGAATTCTTTCTTTGTGCTTTTTTCAATTGCCTTGTCTTACAGTTTTCTTTATGAATTTGATATCAGCACAGTGTGTCATCGACATAGTGCATGTTGTTGTTTTTTTTTATTTCCATTGATAATAAATCCTGGGAAACAAAATCTACTTTGGTATCTCTCAAGGTGAACTCAGTACATATTGGGATCACTACAGATCAATGTCTGTTAAAACAAGGGTTCCTTATTGACTTTAAATTTGATTGAAATCATTTTCTTTTTCTTGGCATCAGTCTAAGCAGAGGAGGGCATGGTGGAGTAATGGAGTAGTGGCTCGATTGAGGAATTAGAGATCAGAGTTTGAATTCCATTTGAATCCATTACATTCATTTACGTGCCAATACCCTTGAGAAAGGTATGAATCCTCTTCTTCTCCCCCCAACTATGGATAAATAGCAGGATAGAGTGGGTTCTATAACCTTGAATGGTAACTGGTCTACCACAGAAAGAAATGGCAACCTACTGCAGGAAAAAATCTGTCTATCAGTCATGTAGCAAAAGATACATGATTGCCTAAGTGCAAATCACGCATGGCACATAACTGAAGCAGAGTGATAAGTGGAATAGTTTTCAACCAATTTAATTGATAAATTATTATAACAATTTCAACATGGACTTATTCGAACTCATAATTGCAATGTTTCACTTGTAAAATTCTTCAGTTGCTGACCATATTTGGCAATATTCTGGAATTTTTAAAATTGAACTCTTTATTCAATCTATGGACATAGATTGTTCTTGTAACAAGGGACAATATGTTTGTATTTAATATTTTGCAAATTGTCAAATTCCTGTTTAATAATATTGATTAACTGTTCCCAATAGAAATCATTAATTAAAATGAGGGGAAAATAGTTGATGATAATTAGCTGTAAATTATTTAAAAAGCCTTGAAGATCATAAATATCTTGAGATTTAGTTTCTGACAACAATGGACATTTTTCTGGAGGGAAACATGTTATTCCTCATAAGCACCTCATACCGTTTTAGAAAAAGGTTTTTGGTATGTGTTGAATGGTCTTTATCCTTTTAAATGTTTTACTAGTTCCATTCTAACCAAGAATCTGCTTTCATTTTTGTCTTTGGCCTTCATTCTTGCTTTATTTCCTCAGGTTTCTCTTTTTCCTTCTTTTTCTTCCTCACTTTTTTATTTTTCTCTTTTTTATCATCCTTATTCATTTCGTTCTGTCTTTTTGTCTCTCTTCAATTTCCTCTCCCTTTTTTCTTATTCTTTTTTTTTTTCATTCCAGTTTTTTTCAATTTTCTATTTTTCCACATATTTTTTCATTCTTTTTTGAGTGGTTGGTTGGGGATGTCTTTCTTCCCATAATTCCTTCTTCTACTCTTTCCATTTTCTTTCATTTCACTCCCTACCTCATTCTTTTCTGTTATTCCCTCTTTATTTCTTGTTGTTCAAACTTTTCTCCCCTCTTCATACCCCCCCTCTCTCTTCTCTCACTCACAAACAGTTTTCTAAAATCCCTTCCTTTCACTATCATGAAATCTTTGCTCTCTACATTGATTTTACCAAATTTAAGAGAATCAATTTTATTCTCACTCAAGGAATTAGCAGAGATTTTGAACAATAACGTCTTTAAAATTATCTTTGTTTTTATGTTCTTCACAAATAGGAAATAAATATCATATCTTTCCTCAAAATTTGTTTTCAAAATTAATTAATCTCTTGTAGTCATTAAAAATAAATAATATTTAGAATTATAAATACAAATATCTCAATCACACTTGAGCTCAGTGGCTAGAATAGTGGGCAGATAATGAAAAGATCTTATATTTCAACAAGTTTCTTATCAACTCATCCAGGAGAAGGAAATATCAATGACCTAGCTTGGGAAGTACACATTTCCTGAACTGACTTTTCAGTCCTTTAAAATTTACAATACTTAATGTTTGTTGTTTCAAATGAAAAAAACATGATTTAAAAAATTACAGTCTTTACAAATATTCTCTTTGGTTTTTCCTCAGCCTAGCTTAGCCTGACACAAGGTCAATTATAATGAACACATCAGAATAATTGATATTGAGATATCCATGAAAAATTTTTACATATGTGTATACTGGCTATAAATTCATAATGAATTTAATAAAAATTGTTTGGAAAGAGTAACATAGATCTTATATAGAATGGAACACTGTTTCAGAATTGTCCTTTGATTTTCAAAGACAAAGAATTGGTTACAAATGTTTTCTCTTACAAATGATGCTAAAGATTCTGTTCTTTGATGTACTTCTTGGTTGATATAATTAAGTCACTTTAGGAGATAATTCTCTGACATTTGTGAAGAATTGAGTCCATTTTGTGGAACTGATCAAAGCAGTACAATCTTTTCATTATAGATACAGTGAATCTATTCAAGAAGATTTAAAGAGAAGGGGCCTTTTTATATTGGGATTGGCTATTCTTTTTTGAGACAACCCATCAACATTCTAATAAAGAACCTGATGGAAATATTCCCTTCCCAGAAAACATTTCCAGCTAGGATCTAATATATATGGACAAAAGGAATCTTTGGCTATTATGTAAACTGATTGGCCTCCCAACCCCACTGTGGCAGGAAAATAAGATGTTTATTCTAACCATAAAAAATCTAAGAGATTCCACCACTACCTCTACATTTAAGTGTCGCCAAATTAACCGAAAGCTTTAAGTAGATTTTGCTATGAATGCTTCTTGAATATGTAAGCTGTGTATTTACTTAACTTTTCAAATCACTAATTTAAAATGTCTGTTCTCTAGACGTATTTTTCTGCCTCTTTTTTGATTTCCTAATTTTATTTTATAGGCTCACCTATCGGCTGGCTCACACTCCTCTCTCCTCTTTTGAACGGTTTAGGATTGGGTTTTTGGTTCCTTCTAAAGTCTTTTTATTCTCTTTCACTCCCAGTAGCCCCCTTGCAACTTAGTGACATTATCACCTTGCTTGGGGTTAATTGGTTAAAAAAACAACTCGGTTATTGAATTAATATTTTAAAAAAACCATTGAAACCAACAATCTGAGCCACATGTATAAATTATACTTTATTTTGAAAAACCTATAAGCATCATAAGTTAGTGAGAAATCTATTAACAATATTATGGAAAAATCTAAAGAAATCGTTTACCTGCATGATCTAGGACCACACAGTGTGGGTTTTAGACATCTATATATATAGAACACTAATACATTCAAATAATCCCTTTTGTATAAGGAATGGAATATTGGCATCAAAATCAAGCAAATGAATACTGGCTCTGATTTGAGCCTAAGAAAGGACATAAAAGCTCATCAAAGGATCATTTTTAGCAGTTGGCGGGCACAGATTTTGTTGGAAAGTGACTTCTCATCTCCAAGTGACAGTCCACCAAAGACTGTCGCATCAGTAAGTCGCAACTCATCTGCCTCTTCTTCTGTATGCCTCAGAGGACACCTTTTATAACTCCACTTATCTCCTTCTTTCAATAAGAGACATTTACACTGATTTATCATTTGTTGTATTTTACATTAATACAATTGTTTATTTCTTTAAACCTTCATTGTTTCTTCTTTGTTCTGGCACAATGTCTTTATCATAATGTCTTTATCATAATGTCCTTATCATAATGTCCTTATCATAATGTCTTTATCATAATGTCTTTATCATAACAATAGTTACCTAAGCTCCATGAAACAAGAATAATCAAAAAATTATATCCACACACTAATAGAAAATAAAATTGTTATTATTTTTGCAACATGGCACTCTCAAACGTTATCTTCAAATGAAGGAATGATGATTTGACATTGAAGCTCCACAAATTTATTATAATGGACATGTGTACAGCAGTTCTCTGAAGTGGCCATTTGACCTCTAATAGCCCACAATCTGACCCAACATTGAACAGTTCTCATTGAACCAAAGTAGTATGTGAGTATCTCCATGCTGTCACACCTGCTTGTACTGGACTATTTCACTTTACTGAAACTTACCTAAAGCTCAGACCATGCCCTGATCTGAGCGTTACTACATCACAAGATGACTAAAGGCATTGAAAGTTTTAATAGAATATCTACTACCCACTAGCATGGACACACAGCACCAAGCTTAAAATCTGCATCATCCTTCAGGATTGCAATTTTCCATCAGTATATAGATAGGCCACCACTGTTCACCAATGACCATGGATTTAATCCCAGCCATCTGTAAGGTAGGATCAAGTCTGGGCAGGATGGTATGGAGAACATTCTTGCAGCATTCTTTACTCTCCACATCACTAATGGATCCAAAGGAACAGCAAGACCATTAAAGTTTGGCATCAACACCATCAAAGAAGCTGTCAGAATGAAGCAGCAATGAACTCAGCAATGGACTGCCATAGTGGCTCCAATTCCAAGTTTTTTGCTGTATAGTATATGCTATGCCAGGGCTATATACAAGTTTGAATTCAGAGTTAGTTTCTCTTAAACTAGTTGCCATCCAAAGCTATAGAACCCAGGCTGTCCTGCTATTTACCTATAGTTATTGGGGAGAGGAGGAGGATTCATACCTTTCCCAAGGGGGTATTAGCACATAAGTGAATGTAATGGACCGAAGGGAATTTGTTGGCTGCTGCTGATTAATGCTAAAAGCTCTTCACTATGAATTTAGCCTCTGCTAGTCAGCAATGCTTATATCTCATATATAATGTGTTAAAAATTCCCTTTCTCTGTAACATGTGCTGATGGCATAAAGGTGAGAGTCACTGATTAATGTCAAATCGGTCAGGTTTTGATTCCAACTTGAAGCAATTGCATGTCTAGCTACTGCTGTGAGACAGAAAAACAGTCTTTGGATCCCTATATATATATATATATTTGGTTGGATTGATGTGAGTTTGTGACCCTGGGTTTCACGCTTTTGTGCATATAATATATAAATAATTATATATATATAGAAATAAATATATATATATTTATATTTATATTTACATACACACATTTTTCACACACACACACACACACACATGCACACACACATATATATATATATATATATATATATAGCTAATTTACCAAAAATAATTCTGAAAGACAAATTGGTTTAAATCTGAATCCACTCTACAGATTAACACATAAACACTCTGAAATGTTCATATTGGGGATTCCAAAGTTCAAGTGGTACAAAATGGCATTTCCAAATTTCTGGTGGAATGAATTGCACCATGGTGCTCTTTTTCTCACAGATGGTGCCCAACTGACCCTACTATACTGTGCAGCCAACAAAATCAAAAACAAGCAACATGCATGCACGAAATGAATATAAAATGCGACAATTTATCCATCGCACCTTACATATACATAGTTACATGTAATAAGAAATTTTGTCTATGTATTTTTTCAATTTGAATTACTATTGACTGTAAGAACATCCTTGATAGACAGATCTCTTGGAAACCTAAAAAATGTTTGCTTAATTAATTCAAAAATTACCTTTTTTTTTTTTTATTGAACCACATATTTGTCATTTTGTTTTCAGTTTTCTACCATCTTTCAGTCATCCAAGCTTAGAATATTGCTGCCAAATATGATTCGGAGCCCCTGTTAATTACATTGAGCTCCTTGATGAAATCAAAAGAATCAACAATATTATCAGTCCTGATCTGGCATCTCGGCTTCAGTCACTTTCCCACTGCTGTAAAGTTGCCTCTCTGTGTTTTTTCTATAAATACTTTCATGGTAATTGTTTAGATGAACTCTTCATTATTATACCTAGACTTTTTGAATTTAAGTGCAGTATTAAACTGGCATCAACATCTCATCAATTTACATTTGAGCTGGCATAACTTCTAGGCTAACAGTTTCTTTTCTCACACTTCTTGCTTGTGAAACTCCCTCCTGGTTCCATGCTTTCCAGCCAACTTTAATCTACAAAAATTTAAATGCAATGCCAATCCCTATCTACTGTCCTCCTGATTACTTTTTTCTCTTCCAGCTCATTATTAATGTTTCTGTTTCTTAACTCTTCCACACGTTGTAACTCCTTGTGTCATCGTGGTTTTACTGCCTGGCATGGGGTGAAACCAATTAAAAAACTTTAAAAACAAAATTTCATAATTCCATTCTTTCACAACATGTTATCTTTTGTACCAATGGACTTCTATCTGTATCTTTTGCAGCCTTCTAATTAATTGAAATTTTTTCCTTAAAAGAATTCTGTAAAGACATAAATGAATGGAAAGCCAAAAGACACAACATCTTTTGAATGCAATGGACAAGTGAAAACTTTCCAGCCAAACAATTTTTGTTGCCTTATCACCAAAGAAACATGGCATCAAAAATATTTTTACCTTAACTTATATTAAAAGATTCTGAACACTTTTGCTCATTGCTGCTTTCAGGTTGTTTAACTAGAAGCTGTACTTGTCTGAATGAATTATTTCATTTTCTTTGAGCTCATTCCAAATACACCATTTATAAAACATTGTCTTCTTTGAATGAAAACTGACTTTTCTTT